CCTCATATCCTTTTTTACAGTGCATAAGAGGTGGTGATATTTAATAAATATTTATTTCCCCTTTTAATATGTCAAATGCTCAACTTTCAAACTAGGTATTCATTATTTCTACTTCCAGGAGTTGTCCTCCTGCTGTAAGTCAGGATAAGAAGGATAATTTCTAAAACTCTAGTCTTACTCAGAACTAGCAGTGTTTTTCTAGTTTAACTTTAATGTGATCCTATTAGCGATTCTGGATGCTTGATAAATACAGAATCTGGTTGTTGAAATAAAGTCCAGCCTATTACGTAGGAATCAATCCGAAGTGAATCATTGTGTCACTGTAAGAATCATCACTCAGACGAGAGCAACAATATTGATTCATGTGAAAAATGGCCCTAATATACAGTAACATATTCAGGGTTGTCAGGCAATCATGAGAAATAACATCCCCAAGTGATATTTGTCAGGCTAATATCTCCTGAGAATGTTCAGCAATGTGTCATAATTGTAGAGATTGGATGGTGATCTCAATGCTGTGAGAATCTGTTTTACCTTTTTAAAGGTTTAATAATCTGGACATCCTGAACAGCTGCTGTGCTGCTATTTAAAACCTGCTGTCTTTTTATTTCCTCCAACTGAACATTTTATATAACTGAAGATTGGTTTATTGACTTTGAACAGATTTCAGATGATATAACTTCCTGTTTTGAGCCTTCAACAGTAAATTCTGAAAGTTATTTCTGGTCCAATTTGCACATTTTGAAGTCCTGCTTACTGAAACTAAGAAATATCATTAAAATTAGATCAGTGCTGTGCGGAAAGATAGTTGAGCAAATCCTCCATGTCATCTCCTCCTACCTTAATTGCTGTAACGCTGTGTTTACATGTCGGAATGGTGCTGCAACTGAATATAAATTGGCCCAGAATGCATCTGCAAGGCTTATGAACAACACTGAACACAGAAAGCACCCCAGTCCTGGCTGTGTTACACTGGCTTACAGACCTCTCCAGTTCAAACTGTGATCCTTTAGATTACATTTTTAAGCTGTACGCCCAGCTCCTACACTTTGCATTATGTAACTTCATAGCATAACAACATCTATGTTTTGTTCGGACTCAAAAATGATCTATGATCAAATTTTCTTTATATATTTAAAATGTGTACAACCAGTCCATGTATTGTTAAAAAAAATGCACAATACAGACAGGGAATTGCATAACAAGCTCCTAAAAATATCAGGAAAAGTCATCTGTGATCCATATTCACAGGATATAATCTGCTTAAAATTTTACACAAACGTCCTGCAGTTATTGTGAGTCAGTTAACTCAATGAAAGAAAAGTGGTCCCTTAGGAAGAACCACTGCTATAAGCGGTCATCTCATCTATTCTCATCATTTGTTTGAGCTCTATGAGCGGAGGGAACTAGAAATATCTCCTGTTGCCAAGTTTGTCCTATTTACTGGAGAAGTGAACAACATAAACCTTGCATAAAAACCTTATGGGATGGTAATGATTGTTCCAGGTCTTAGAGGTGTTACCACAGTGATGCAAGTGACCATAGTATGAGTGTGATAATGGCCTTCAAGGTGTCCATAATCAGGAACTAACGGACTCTGCGTAGGAAACTGTCTCACATGCTCCCTGTCGTCCATTAATTCCTGATAATGGACACCTCGTTGGGCATTAATCCCTTACTTACACATTCTTTGATATGTGGGATTGTTATTTATTTCAGATGTTTTACCCATATTTCATCATCAAGACTCCTACGATGTATTTATTGACACCATGCTAAACACAACAAAAACTGGTAAATACAATGAATCACCACTGAGGGAAATGGTGGTAGCTGCAGTTTAAATCACACAGAAAAGTAATCTATAACAGCAGCTCAAACTGTTTATATCACACATTGGAATCAAATCTTCTCATACTGTGTGAGTATTAACTATTATTCAAATATTGCTATTTCCGTGTGACAGGTTTACAATTATACAATTTTCATCTTTTATGTTGAGTTAAAGGAGTGATACAGTAAATGGTCCACGATGGTCCCATACTGTCATAGTTGTAGCTGAGCTCATGTAGCTGAGTTTCAAATATTTCTGTCATCTCTCCTGTTTGTCTCTGCTCCTTAATTAAGCAGAAATACCATTATATATTTAATTCAAAAATACCAAGCTCAAAAATATAATGTAGTCAAGCTAAAAACACTTGTTTTTCTTCCTGAAAAGTCACATTGTTTTATGGTTTTAGTTCAAAGATTTTAATATTCTGACAATATGTGTTTGTCCAAAACACACAATCATAGTCCTGAATATAGACAGGTGGATGTGTTGAAAATGACACACCTCTCTCTTTTGAACAGCATACATAGCCTATTTTCTGTACTCAGCAGCAGTTATTGGCCTCCTGCGTCTGTTTTTCCCCTCCCAGCCACAGGGGGGCGCTGTTGATCTTGGCGCTCTGGGCCCTGGCCTCTTTCGACTCGCCCTGCATGCCCCCTCCCTCACTAGCCAGGCGCTTGTGGATCTCAGAGGCCATGGTGAGGAAAGCCCTCTCCACGTTATCAGAGCTCTTAGCACTCGTCTCCAGGAAGGTGATCTTAAGAGACGAGGCCAGGTCCTGGAGAGCCACAAATCAAATTAATATGCAAAATTATCACAATGTATCAATACTGTAGTGTAAAAATACACCATTAAGCTCTGCATTTAAAATTCTAGTTGAGAATCCAGTATTAGCAGTAGAATGTACTCATGGATTAAAAGTGAGTACTCATTGTGAAAATGAATCCCCTCAGAGTCTTCAATTATTGATGAGTGGACATGTAAGCAATTTAATATTGTAAGTAACTGCTTTATATTCTGTTGGCTATTTTAAAACTACATCAGAGTATCATATTTTATGAGTTTACATACGTATGTCATGTAAAAACTCTGCATCAGGTAAATGTAGTTAAACAATACTCTGACTACTGAAAAGTAGTGGAGAGAAAGTGGAAATTCTCCCAAAGCTAAAAGTAACATTTAGGAAGATCAATTGGCAGAATGGAATATAATATTAATAGGTGTGTTTTCATTTGTGTATAATAAGAAAATAAGAATTGTTGTTTACCTTAGAATGAGCTGTTTTTATCTACACAGGAAGAGTTCCTCTACTACAGTGTCAGTAGCTTTAGTAGTTTTACACCCACCGTAGTCTCCTACATGCTTGGAAGGCTGAGCTGTATATAAACGGTTGCAGTCTGACACTTCAACTGGCAACTTTTAGTGGAAACTGCAACTCCATCAAAGGAGAACGGTGGCTGAGAAACATGCAAAAAATGCAAATGGCCCTGCATAAAGCCAGTGTTTGGTTTATCCCTTCTGGGCTACAGTAGAAACATGACGGTAAAACATGGCAGCCTCCATGGTGGGCGGCCGCTTGCGTCTATAGATATAAAAAGCTCATTATAATTATTATTTTCAGGTTATATAGTAATGAATCATACATTTGAATATTATATTCCACTGGTCCATACTGGACCTTTAACAGGCTTACCCTATAAATGCCATCGCATGCAATTTTGCTCTCTGGTGTTAAATGAGCATTACAGCCTCACGGCTGCTAGACTGATGCTTGGAGTTGTTTAATAGTATTTGGAGGCAGTACATTTAAGCCGAGCTGTGTGTAGCCTGTTACCTGAGCAGTGGCAGCATCCACCACTTTCTTACTAACGAGGTCACACTTGTTTCCCACCAGCAGCCTGGAGACGTTTTCACAGGCATAACGATCTATCTCGTCCAGCCACTGCTTCACGTTGTTAAAGGACTCCTGAGGACAAAATAAAGAGACAAAAAGGAAGAGAAGTTCATGTTCAAACTCTGTCTCATTATGTTGTTGATGATGTGCCAAAAACACGCTGACCTGCTCTGTGACGTCGTAGACGATAATGATACCGTGAGCTCCTCTGTAGTAGCTGGACGTGATGGTTCGAAACCTCTCCTGACCTGCTGTGTCCCACTGTGGGAAACACAGAGTATGGTGTGCCAGTCAGTACACTTAAATGACACAGTACTTCCTTACTTTAACAGACAACAAATTGGTGTTTTTCTGAAGGGAACCCACTCCCCACCCCTTGACCAAGTCTGATAAATAAACTCTTACAATCTGTAGTTTCACTGTCTTCCCGTCCATGTCGATGGTCCTGATCTTGAAGTCGACTCCGATGGTGGAGATGTAGCTGTCAGTGTAGGTGTCATCCTGGGGATTAAGTGTGACGTGATCAATAACAAGCAGTAAAGTGTTTAAAATAAAGTGTGTTTGAGTGGGATTGTTTTATAGGCCTACCGCGAAGCGCAGCAGCAGACATGACTTTCCGACTCCAGAGTCACCGATCAGAAGAAGTTTGAACAGGTAGTCACTGGAGGACGACACACACGTAGATGTCCATACACATAAAAACGCTGTTAGTTTGCCTCATTTTAAGTTAAGATGAAAATCTATCTATCTAATAAGATAAAATATTATATATTTTGTAATTAGCTACCTAATTAAAGATATCATATTAAAACCAGACTGTAAAATTGTAAATTGCAAACCTCTGGTGCACATCCAAATATAATTATGAATGCAGATATTTTTATGAAACAGATACAGACACAGATGGTGGCATACTGCACACTCTAATAACTACAGTGTGACTGTGAAACCCAGCCAAAGTGTTTCCATTTTGTGTTGGCAGTAAAAGAATGGATCTTCACTCTCGCAGTAAAAGCATTTATTTATTTTCTCACCTCCATGTCGGCATGATCACATATCTTATGTTTATGTTTGGTCTATAGCAAAATACAAGTGCTGTCTTTGATATACTGTATGTTTGAGGTTAAGGGTTAGGTTTTCACTTAAACTACTTGACAAAGGCAACCAGCAATTCCATGAACTGTTAGAACATGTCTGCACAACAAAGGCACTTTTTTCAAGACTTGTATTCTGATGCACAAAATGCTGAGTTTGCAGATTTTGAGGTCTAACACGCAAACGTGGGACACAAGCATAACCTTGCTAGGCAGTTGGACTCAGAAGGTCACACAATTACAAGAAATTCAAGTTCAAGTTATTCACTTATGTCCAAACCACGGACCACGGACCAATCAGTGTTTTCTGAGGAACCACTGACAGCTACGGTACAAAGAGATTAGCGTAGATGCTGCTAGCATCAGTTATATCAGAACTGGGGAGTATTTCTTGATTGAAAGAAGATCAAAGAATGGCACCAAAGGCTTTTCTTGATGAAAAAGATGTTTTTACTCCTCTGTAGACTGGCTTCAAGTGTTTGAATACGTTATATCTTATGATACGTTGTATAGTCTGTTGTTCTTAATGGTTGAAGTTTGCCCATGATAGATGGTGATAGACAAATGGTTCCTCCAATCACCTGCCAAGTATTTTTTGCCCTGTTCCAAACATTTTCCAATGGTGACTTCCCAGCATGCGTTAACACAAACACACACATGCACACAAACACTGCTTGGTGGGAACTGTTGGGTCTCTGTACCTGTTCTATTTGAAAAGTGTCCTGAGATAACTTCTGTTATGAATTGGTGCTATACAAATAAAATTGATTGAATTGAATTGAATTCTGTCAGTGTGGATATCTGTGGTTTTCATCCAGAGTCAATCAGATATTAAATCTACTTTATTTTTGCAGCTAATGCTTGGTGTAGTGTTAATGTCATAATATTGGCAGTGGAGTCACTGCTTATCTAGTTGCTGCTTTTTTGAATACACATGGGAAGTTGTATTGCACATGTAGTTTGTAATTTGTGCTGTAAAGTCAATTCATGACTTTCTGTTGACCCACAAAGTAGACACTTAAATTGAGTGCGATGTAAATGAGCCTCCTGAGCTGTGCTGCATATTATCCATAAATATACCAATGTTGAAGAGTTGGTTAATTTACCTTATATTGTATATAATATATTATAACTAGAGATTAGAGATTATTACTAAAAATAATCCTCAGATTAAAACAAAAAAAAATCTTCCTTGTGTGTCACAGTTTCGGTTTGGTGTGGCAACTGACCTGCCTCAAAGGACTACGTTACCCATCAGCCACAGGGGTCTAGTGAACTAGGTTCCAAGTTTCTTAGAATTGTCTAAGACGTTTTCTTCTGTAACAATAGACGCCAGATTCATGACTATAACACATCTATCTCTGAGTCGGTAAAACTATAAGGTTATCTACTGTACACACACAGAATTACAGCAACATATAGATACTCGAACACAGGATGGAGCTAAAACCATGCTTAAATATAAATCAGAGGTCAACAAACCCAACACAGTATATCCGGGTCAAAAATATGTATATGTATATATGTGTGTACAGTGTACAGTATGTGTCTTTAATGAACTGAATGTTTAAACCTCCAACACAGTAATACAACGCACACAGAAAAAAACAACACTTACTATTCAGGATTCATGATCGGTGAGGTCGCCCCGGGTGACAGGACAAAACAAAAATTCCTGAAATTGAATCCCTGAAGCTCAGAACAGTCCGATTATTTCAGACTCTGTGATGTTGTGTACAGTTCTGTACCTATCCGTGTTTGTGTGTATGAGTATTTGTGTGTGTCTGTATCCGTCCTTTGGAGGGCAAATGGCAGAATAAGCCGGAGCTACCTTCCTTGCGAGCTGACTGATGAGCTGACTGGTTCAGATGCATTATTTATTAATAAAGACCAGCTCAGGTTACACTGGGGACAGCACCTGGAACCAAGACTCTCACAAACACACACACACACACACACACACACACACACACACTGCATTTCTGAACACAATCACTAAATTTCACCACCAACTAATTTGTAATTTGCTCTTTTCATTTTGGATAGTGTATCTGTGCTGATCTGTCGTTGCACCACACTGTGCCTCAGCTCGTGAATGACATCACCTCACCTCACAGCGTGTCCTGTGCGTCACACATCACAGGACTGACCGCAGCTCTGACATTTCCAAACAAACAAGCAGGAAGTAGTTCTACTGGAACCACCCAAGAAGCTACAAATAAGCTATCGCTGATATCAAAGAACAAATATCTCTCTATATGTCTGTTTCTTGTGGAACAAAATACCTGTATGTCAATCTCAATACCTGTATATCTATCTCAAGTCTTTGATCACAGGGAATCCTAGTGGAACACTGACATCCCTGGTGACCTTAAACCTGCATTAACTGATTTTTTGGCCAGTTGGTGGCAGTGTAAACAGGCTGTAAACACAAGATGGAAATATTATCACCTTATAGAGTTGATGTTGAACTTTTTATCCAATAGTTTGTAGTATTGGCATGCAGCAGCTACAGAAGTACAGTAACATTTATTTGCAGTCGTGTTTCTGGCAAATATGTTTGTGTATTTATCTTTTTATTCTCCTTTTTAGCTCTGTTTTGATCTTCACCAACTCTGAAGAAATCAGCTGCTCGATGTTCCACTTTCTTCATAAGCTAGTTGCTAACTTTTACTGTTTGCTGTTTGGTGATGGACAGGTGGGTTTATCAGAGGTGTTTCACTGAAAACAGCTTCCGGCTAAACTATGCTATGAGGGCAAAAAAGTTGTGATTAGGTAAACCAAAACAATGAGCTGAAAGATTCAAGTGATAAGCTTTACCAAATAGCAAGAATAACAAGACTTTAGACCTTTAAATGGTGCGTAGCGCATACGGCCATCCTTCCCATTAACTTCTGTGACGTGACGTAGTATAAAGAGCGCCAAATGGCCCATGGGTGGACGGGTCAAAGGGCGCTGTTTGGTGCTTTTGAAACCAAAAGTCAATGTTGACTTATTTGAACTTCTGGAAGGTTACTTACGTAACTTGTAACGTAAGTCCAGTGTCTTCCAAGTGCAAAGAAGAAAGTACAGCAGCTATGAAACTCCACTCTACTCCAAAATCCACATTAGTTAATGGAAAGGACTGGCGTATGCACCGCACACAATTTGAAAGTATGAAGTTGTGTTATTTGTACACTGATTAAAGAGACTGGAAATTTAGCCACAATATCTATTGGATTATAACTCACCAAAGTCATGGCTCAGACAACACAGTCTAATAAAAAGACAGGGATCAGATTGCCCAGATTATTTGAATACTGAAGGTAAAACTGAAAGTGAGCGCACCTGAAATGACAAAAATTCGAGATTACACATTTGCTTTGCTTTTTTATAGTCTTTTATAGTCTTCATTTACATCAGTATTTTTAAAACAAAGCCTTTCTACAAATTGGCTTTTAGTTTTCCTAATTTTTCTCTCCTCCTGGCGCACTTGATGCTTATATAAAGATAATACATACAAAAGAATAGGCTTTCACACATTCAAGCCTACAATCTTTCTATTATACACACGCCACTCAGAGCCACTCAGACACAAAGTGCACTGCTCTGCCTTGTAATTGTCGACACACACAGTCCAATGATGTGGTTGATTATTCCTCTTTGAGTGGCGAGTTGTTGTTGTTGTTGTTCTCATGGCTGTGTGTTGAAGCAGGGTGTTAGCATTATATGATCACTGCACTTGAATGGTATAATGGAGCTGCTCATCCTAAACTGTCTGCTGAACAGAGAGAAGAGTCGGAGTTAGTCAGCTGAGTCACAGATAACTAATATTTATCCATTAAACTCTAATTTATCTTTGATTGTCGTTTAAATGCTCCCTCGGAGGTTGTAACAGCCTAATTTTAATAAAAAATACATTAACAGATAATGATTGCAAATTATTATCTGATAAAAACTTTAATACATATATATGTTATATATATACATATATTGTTGGTGTAAATCTGTTTATTGGGCAAAAGAACAGATACACTCCAAAAAGTAATTCAGTGGACCAGTTGTCACCACTTAAAAAAATGAATAATGAATAAAACTAGTTGGAGCAAGTTTATATGAGTAGCCTAATCAACTTAAAAACTGGTGTTTGTGCTTATAATTATTAAGTAAATGGTAATTAAAAATACTTTTGATTATAAAGAAAAAACAGTTCCCCTAACTCAATTAGTATGTTTGTTGAACATAATTTCATTAGTTGCCATAACTCAAAAATAATGATGCAAACTGTCTTTTTTTTAGCCAGACATTTGCAGCCGAGCCCCATAATGCAGATGCATTGCTAAATGTATCACTTTTTTTAGACTTTCTGTATATCTATCTGAAAAAGCTTCCTAAAAGAAGACATTAGTCATGACAGTGTAAAACATGAATGTGTTATTATGTTATCTCAATCTATACTTAAAATTGTATCCGTTTTTGTGAATCTTGACTTCATTGTACGGACCTTTGTTTATCACACTTGCTCTGTAAAGTTGTAAACAGAAAACAAACTTCTGAAGAAAAGGAGGTAACTCCTCCTTTACAAAGGAAAAATGAAGCTGTTTAATTTTCATATACTTCTTACCAGCCCCGACAGCATGTAGCTGGTATTGTTTTCACTTTATGAGTCTCTCTCTGTGTGTGTGTGTGTGTGTGTGTGTGTGTGTGTCTGTCATCACTGGAAAATGTGGTCCAGGAGAAACCTACTGTAGCAGGAACGACCACAGACGCAGTTTTCAGTACTTAGACAGGTGTCACAACCGTGTAATTCAGTCACGTAACTGCACAGGTGTGTATTTGAGATCTAAATGAAGGCCGAGATCAAAGATGGGACTGGTCCGACCCATGAGTCCTCGTGTCATAGTGCTGTAATAACTACTGAGTACTCATGGGCACCGCGGCTGGTGTGTTCCCATCCGGTGGTCTCCAGTTTGTTCCAGGATTTAAATGTGTACAGAGAACCTTTAGAGAAAACATCATTAATGTAATCATTTTCAAATCATTTTTTCCATTAGTGCAAATCATTAACCTCTGCATTTCACTGTAATCCTTGTTTCCTTCCTCTCCTCTCTTCTTTTCTCATCTCCTATTTTCTTTGTCTAAGTTGGCTCTTTTCCTTTTCAGTCATCTTATCTCCCCTCTTTTTGTTTCCTCTCCTCTCCTTGTCTCATCTTTCTTTTCCTCATAACTCCATGTTTCCTTTCCTTTTACCACCACTCTTCTACTTCTTTCTACTCTTTTTCTTGTCTTGTCTTCTCCTATCTTTGCTCATTTTTCCTCTCCTTGTTTCCTTCCATCTTCTCTCCTCTCCCTGACTCTGCTCTTGGTCTTGATCTCTGGTCCTTGCTCCCTTTCCTCTTTCCCTTTTCTTGTCTTCTCTTTAAATGCTTCTTTATTTTCCTGTCGTGTCGTCTCATCTCCTATTTTCTCCTTGTTTTCTTTTCTTTCATTACATCTCTTCTGCTTTTCAATTCTTCTCTTTCCTTTGGTTTTCCCCTCATTTCCCTTCTTTCCTTTCTTGTCATTTCCTTTCCTCATCTCCTCTATTTTTACTCTTTTGTCTCATTTTCTCTGTTTTCCTTATTTCTTATCATATCATCTCCTTGTCTTCTCTCTTATCTTCAGTCCTTCTTTCCTGTCCTCTTCTCCTCTTATTTTCCCTCTGTCTTTCCTTGTCTCACCTCCTCTTTCAGAAATGGACAGAAGACAAAGTGAAAGCGATGCAGTCTTATTCATGGCTGATTCCCGTGTATGACCCCCTGGTCACGGGTGCGAGCAGAGAGCAGGGGATTGTGGGATATGCGATGGCTGAGCAGCTGTGGTGGGGTCAGGGGTCAGCAGCCCTGACAACGGCCTGTTGCCAGGGCAGAGGCGGCGGCGCGGTGGTTGCTAGGGCAGCGGCAGGCTTTGTGGTGCTCCCGATGGAGCATGGAGGTGGGAAAACTGGGGGAAGGGACAGGGAGAAAGAGAAGACATAAAGAACGAGAGGAGAAAGAAATTAACAAAGAGAGAGGGTAAGAAAGCAAGAGGAAGGGTGGGAAATTGAGAGAAGGAGGAAAGGTGGAGAAAAAGAAGGAAAGAAATTAGGCTATATTCTAAAACTATAGAGACTGAGAAAATGGGAGAAACATGAAGGAAAGAGTGAGGTTTTAACATAAAAAAAGCTCAACATATGACAGATAAAACTGAACTGACAAACCAAATATAAAGACAGGAGTCACACAGTGGAGGTTTAATGGCTTACTGTAATATTGTTCTAAATGATTTTCATGTCATAACATCCCTAGTTTTGTTTTTGGGGTTTATCTTTTATCTGCATGGATAACATTTCTAAACTCGTAGCTCAGAGATGGAACAACAACGCTTCTTTATGTTCTTGACCGGTCAGTTCCATCACATAAACCTCAATCCAACCGACTGCTGAAGACCAGGCTGAAAGCAAAAAGTCACCAAGACAAATAAGAAGTGAATATGTCTACAATTCACGCCTCAGATATTAAATATGATTCCTTTATAGTGTTTGGGTTCATTTAAAAATTCCAGTAGAGTTTGTTCCTCCACTTTTCTTTCTTCTGTATACGTAAATACCATCAAATGAAAGCTCAGTACTTCAG